TTAAGTTATATTATTATATAGTATAGTAGTAGTGTTACTAGTATAGGTACGTCTATAACTACTATATATATATATATATATATATATATATATATATATATACACACACACACACACACACGATAAATATGAAACAGTTTCTTGTAGTTGTATTTTTGTATAAAATTTGTAACTGCAACACATAGAAAGTTAATGCTGTTCATATTTTAAAGTTAGTATAAATTGCTAATGTGACATAAGTAGCATACTTTCTTAATGCTTTCTTCTTGTATGCTAGTTTGTCTTTGAGGATGTGGTAAAAAATATTCACATTAGTAGTACACAATAAGTATTAAATAAAAATGTAAAAACTGTTGGAAAAAAATGTATATGAAGATTATAAATGCTCAAAGAGTTGTGTAAGAATGATAAAAATGAATTAATTAACCTTTGCATGTAGAAAAGTTGTGAGACGTATAAATTCATTATTATTTAAAACTAACTGGATTTGGATGGATTTTTAATCTTCTTTTTTGTTGTTTTTTGTAACGATAGTGTATTTTGTTGTTATTTTTACTAACAGAGTTGCTCAAGCTTATTTAAACCAGAAACGATTGGATGCCGAAGCAAAACAACTTCACATGAATGCAACTCAGTTTGCTAAACAGACAACACAGTGGCTTCAACTTGTAGATAATTTTAATCAGTCCTTAAAGGTAATATCATAGTAAATCTCTGTTCTTATTTTAGGAGTATCATTGATATTTGCAGTTAAATCATTATTGTAATGATTCATTTAAGAAAGTATACCTAAGCTTGGATAATAGTGTGACATTTTCATTGTAAAAAAATTTAAACAGTCAGATATTTGTAGTATAAAACTAGATTATTTGAGACATTGTGTGACTGTGGTGCTTCTAATAGAACTAAATAAAATGTATAGTATAGGGAATGTCAAGAGATGATTAATAATCTGAAAAGTGTTGTGGAAATCAGTTTTTTTTAGATTTCTCACATTTGAGTTGTTTTTCTTTTATTTTGCTTATTGTGTCATTTTAAACTTCATAGAAACTTGACCACCTCTCACTTAAAACAATCTGTATGTTATATCAGTGTCACAGTATTTCTTGGCAATCCCAGGCCCACAATACATACGCATAATATCATGTTAACCATTGAGCCAAAAATGTAAGCATGGAACGTTTGATTTGCCATTTACTCAGCTAAGGTAACCGTTAGAGGTGACATGACCGTTAGATGGTAAACAATATGATATATTGGTTAGCTGAGAATTTTGTGTTTGTTGGAGCCACAATTCTATGTGTGATAGAGTCAGGGTTTCTTAGGGTTATTTGTTATGTGTTGTGTAGGGATTGAACTCCATATTTTAGCATTATAAGCTTGCCACTGAGAGACAGTTGGAGGTTGAGTAGGTGATATGATATTTAGATTGTATAAACCAAATACTGTAAATTTATCATTGCTTCCAACGAATTTTTAGTAAACTAATATTTTATTTATAGTTATTGTTACTACACAAAAAAAAGCATGAAGAAGAGGAAAATAATTTTTTTTTTTAAGTTTTGTTATATTCTATATTGAAATACATTGTGTCTTATTTTGTGTAGGAACTAGGTGATGTGGAGAACTGGGCCAAAAGCATGGAGGCCGATATGAGGACAATTTCTAGTGCTCTAGAATATGCTTACAAAGGTATTTAAAAAAAAAAATTCAGTTCCTGACTGAAACTTCTCCAAGTACTGTACATAATACTGGTAGAGTAAAAAATATTGTTGAGCTTTAACAAACAAACAGTTATCTCATAAAAATATGCATGATAGGAAAAGAAAGAAAATGCCAATGATTGTTTTACTGACATAAGTGAAAAATGTGAATTATTTAATATGATCTAACAGCATTAGGAACAACTAGTGTTTCTTGTTCCATTTTTTTCTTTCTTCTGTTGACTAACCAGAAACAGTGCAATAAATTGCACTTGAAGGACATAAAAGCTAAGAAATTAAATTAACTTTAGTTCACATTGTATAGTTTGCAAGTGAAAAGGTCCTTCAGCACCACAATGTAGGAGGATGACACTTATTGAAGTCTACTGTTTGCTGTATAGGTTTGGTTTGTTTTACAGTATTAATTCAATGGAATAGGTAAATATAGTTTTTACTAAAGATGGGAATGATATCTATACCGGTTTTTTATCCTAGAAAGTGTTGAACCGTTTAACTGCTTTTTGTTTTTTTTCTTGTTGTAAATATCTGTAATTCTTTTGGGGGTGGAGGGAGATGACTAACTCTGTTGTTACTTCTTGTACTGTTGGAACTTACTTATATAGATTATATGTAATAATTATGAAAATGTATCAGCTTTGCAGTCAAATTAGAGCTCATGCTACATTGGCTGCCCACTTCACTTGGACCACCTAATATTGCATTGGACTTCCTTTTACATTGGTAATAAACTGGACTCAATTTATTATAGATTCCACAAGATGCTGGAAGGCATTGCTCGGTTATAGCCCATTTATTGAAGAGTGTGATTTTTCAGTTGGTTAAAAGACATTGAAATGCCATTATGGTGGCAAATCCAGCATTCAAGTTATTCCCAAGGTTGTTCATTTAGATTGAAATCTGGTAAGTTATGCTGGCCAAGTAAATGACTGAAGTTGCTATCATGACCCTTAAACCAGTATTTGAGTAATATGAACATGATACATTCTTACCTCATTATATTGAAAGGTCCTTGGTTCATCAGGATAAAAGTTGAGCATTATGGTATTGACATGAACATCGGCACTGTTCATATACATTCTGAACGTTATACACTCATCTCAATTAATTAAAGGACAGAAGTTTATACCCAAAACCATTTCACTGCTTGCACTGTTGAGCAATACAAGCAGAAGTCAAACACTTCATGTGGTTTTCTTCATAATTTTACTGTACAATCAGAAAAGAAGGGGTAAAAGGAGATCTATTTGACTACATCATGTGATTGGTGGCTACTGTATAATGTTTTTTGTGTATGTATTTCTGTTGCTAGGTGCAATTAGAGATAGTTTAATTCTTGTGAAGGAACTGGACAGCTGCGATACTGTCTTATACTTTCATTGTACTTTACAAGCTTGCCCAATCTCTTTTGCCTTGACTAGTTACCAGTAGCTATAGCCACGGCTCTTTCTAGTTACAGTAGTATTTGTTATTGTGCTCTGATGACAACTGTCTCTGAACAGCTAGTCCAAGAAATCAGACAGGTAGGTTATATATATATATATATATATCCATACTTGGAGGTGTTAATAAATCCTGCAACAAATGAAAATGTATCATGTTGGTTATATATCAAATCCATTAAGAGAAGAAAGATCAATAAATCTGATCCTTTTTCATAATTACAGGAAAGCTGTTTGTGCTTAAGGGACGGTAAATATTGCATTATATAGAAATTAATCTTCTTTTTTAAATTAAAATACATAAAATGTGTTATGCATCAAAATATGTGGAAGACTGGTGGAATCCAGCTGCCTGGGATTCCTTTAATAAAATATACTAAAAAATAAATAAGTATTAGCTGTATGAGAATGCATAGCTTATAAAGGCACCAGCTTAATAGACTGATTTTCAACTTTGAAAGTAATTACCATTAATGGCTGTTATTAATATTAAGTGTGTTATAAGAGCCAGAATATAAAACAAATAATTTACCAGTATTTCATAGTTAAATTTCATAAGTCTCTGATAGAGGATTATATTAGTAGATTTTTTTTGTTTGGTTGTTAAAATAATTGTGAACTACTCGAGATTTTAAGCATCTTAAATTATTTGGCATATGAGAACAGTAATATGTTTTGAAGTATGAGTGTTTATTTTTTCTTATTGTTGTGCCCCCTTTGGCTTAGCAGTAAGTCTGAAGGCTTATAATGCTAAAAACCAGGTTTTGATACTCGTGGTAGGCACAGCACAAATAGCTCAATGTGTAACTTTGCACTTAACAACAGTCTTAAAATTGTTTACTACAGGTCATGAATACTTACATTAACTTTATTATATGTTTAATTTATATACATAATATTCACACTGTATTGGTGTTTACACCTTTTTTCCCTAATTATGAACTTATTCTACTTATTTTTTCAGTTGGCCAGGAAGGATCATAAGAAGTATCCATGGGAACTGGCTTATTAGATACCCAGAAGCTTATGAACATTAATGTCTAAAAACAGTTTGTAAAATAATCATTGTTTAAGCTTCATCTGTAATGATACAATGACATCGTACAAATATTTTTATTTCTTTGAAAAGTCAAAGAAATATTTTGATTGGTCAAAAAAATTAATTTACACCTAACTTTTCTTTGCGATGAGATATGTTCATGCATTCAAGAATGTTCAAAAGACAGTAAATATTATTTGGAGATTGATTTGAGATTAATTGTAGATTTATGATTTTTGTGTTTGTAAAATACTTTTTAGGGTAATTAAAAAGTAAATATGAAGTTTAGTCTATTATTCCATTCACCACTTGTCACGGAGTTATACTGGTTTCAGGGAATTCCACCTCTCATCATTAACCCTGGACAATGGCAAATCAAAAGAACAAGACTAGGATTCTTATACTGTTGCACATTATATGCATGGTGTTTTTATGGTTTTTTCTCACCATAGTGAACATATTTATTTATATATGATTTGATGAATATGTTATGGTAATGTTACTATTTTATTTTTTGGTCTTATTCAACACACAAGCTATGTAAAATAACAAAATCAGGCCTCCCAGTAAAACCTTTATTTTTGTTCTTTTATTTTGGCTCAAAATAGGCCATAAAAAGACTTTAAAAATATATACATTTGAAGGTAAAACTATATTTTTAACCAAAAATATTGCTGCAAAATTATATGTAATCATCTAATATAGCTCAGTGGAAATATAATGATTTTATAGAACTTTTGATTTCGAGGAATAATCCAGACTTCATTATTAGAATTTACATGGTAAAATCTCTGTTATCATACACAAGATAGTAATGGGTTTCTTTATGGAAATTTTACATATGGGTGTAGAGATTCACAATTATTTTTAGTCAAATATAAAATATTTATATATATTTAACTATTTATAGAAAAAGGTCCCAGAAATTAAAAAAAAACTATTTTTCAGTAACCCACTGGAAGGCCTGTTAAAAGTAAATATGAAGCCCAATCTATCATTCAATTCACCACTTCTCACTAAGTTATAAAAACACCATGCATATAACTTTTAATGTATTCTAAAATGTTATCTTTTACGAGAAACTAAAAGTTACAAGCAAAATTAAGAAATTCCATTTAGGTTTTCAAATTAAGTTTTTTAACAGCTGCTTTGAGCATTTCAATCACATTTTTAATTAAGGTTGACATATAAAACACTTATTTACTCACAGAAGTAATTGGTGAAAAGTTACATTTCACCAATTTTAATCCATTTCACATCATAGCAGCTATTGCTAATATAAATAGTATCTTGGCTATTACTAGGTCATATCACAGCCAGCCTGAAATATTGGGCAAAAGGCCTCATCAGCACTGGAAAAGCAGATATAGTGTTGTTGACATATTACTATACACTCTACTTTCACTCTGAAGTTCTTATTATTAATTGCAATTTGAGTCATGGTATCCCAATGGTGATTAAATAAACACTATGCACAAACACACCCTCTATGGATAATATCCATCAATATTTTAATATTTCCTCAGTTGAGAACCCAGTATTTATCAGAATAGCTAATTTTAGAAATAAAGTTTAAAATAATTATAATTTCTTCTATAAATAATAGACAATATTAAGACTAGTTAATTTTTACATTTGCTACCACACTTTCTCTCTGAAGATTTTACTTAAGTGGCACTAGTGTAAGAGTGTTTCATAAATGTTCATTTCGCATTAACTAAAAATGTTTTTTCAGTATCAGTCAGTTTAGAACATATTTCTTCTACTACATTATAGATGAAACAAACTGATTTTATTTTAATGGCGATCTTTAGAATGTGCTTGCCAATTTAATCAGTGTTAGTATAAAGCGTTTTCAAGTTATAAGTAAAATATGCCAATAATTTTTCTAATAAACTAGTTTTTACATTAAGCCGAAGTTTGGTTTTAGTATAATTAAAAACTTATAAGTTATAAAACAAAAGAAAAAATCAACATCTACATGTTTTAGTTAGGTTTATTTTTTAAAAGTAGCAGCCCAAGAGAACCATAAAACTCGTATTGAAAACTGCCTGATTATAGCTGGTTTAGTCTATTTTCTTCAAGTTTAAAAATCCCATTAGAAGTCTTAAAAATAATACTGTAGGTATAAAATTTGTTCTTGTGATTCTAAGTGAGGTGGTAAAGTGTTTACAATATTTATGATCTCTCTCATTTCCATCCTGAGTCAAGGTAGTAAAGTGATCCCAATAGTTATGACCTCTCTCCCTTCCTGAGCCAGGGTAGTAAAGTGATCACAATAGTTATGACCTTTCTCCTTTCCTGAGCCAGGGTAGTAAAGTGATCACAATAGTTATGACCTCTCTCCCCTCCTGAGCCAGGGTAGTAAAGTGATCCCAATAGTTATGACCTCTCTCCTGTCCTGAGCCAGGGTAGTAAAGTGATCACAATAGTTATGAATCACTTTACTACCCTGGCTCAGGAAGGGAGAGAGGTCATAACTATTGGGATCACTTTACTACCCTGGCTCAGGAAGGGAGAGAGGTCATAACTATTGTGATCACATTACTACCCTGGCTCAGGAAGGGAGAGAGGCCCAATAGTTATGACCTTTCTCCCTTCCTGGGTCAGGGTGGTAAAGTGATCACAATAGTCATGACCTCTCTCTACCTTCCTGTGTAAATGTGCTAAAGTGTTCACAATTACCAAGCATACAACCCAATGTTAAATGTAGAGTGCATGACATGTACATGTTTTGCTGACAGGAAGCAGATAGGCAGTCGCCAGCTATCACTATCATATATGGTTGAACAATAAAAACATGATTATTATAAAGCTTTTTTGACAGTCTCTCCTTTTTGTTTTTTTTTCTTACAACTTTTCATATAAGAAGAAAAAAAATTATATCCTAGAAATTGGTACAAGGAGTGGTGAAGCATGAGAGACTATGTACAAATTATTGAGCACAGTTTAAAAGTTTGTAGGAGTGGAGTGGTGGTCACCTTAGGGACTACAACTTTTGGTTCAAGACTAAATATTTTGTGAACTTTATGTAGTACATGTTATACAACTAAGGTTATAGTTTAGTTTTCTAGTTCAATATTTAATTATGTGAAACTTTATTTAATAGAATAAAGTCTGAACACCTTTGAGAAACTTCATGAAAATCCTCAGTTTTTAAGTAACTTTTCTGAGTTTCATAATTAATAAATGTCTGATCAGTCACTTTGACCTTGTGTGAGGAAGTAGCTGGTGAACAGGATTTATTGGAAGGATTACCTATAACCAAGAAGAAAATCTGGACTTTGCAAAACACAGCGCTAGTCAGCAGGTTTGTACATAAAAATCAGTGGCACAGGACATCCTTACACTATTTGGCAGTTGAAGAAAGAATGTCATCTGCATTGCACAATATTGGACATGCCAGAAACTTGTGAAACCAATATAATGTATTACAGTATTAGGTGTTCTATTGATGGTATGTACAGAATGAGTAACGAAAACGCTCACCTGTTTACTTTACTTGTATGTAATACAGAATATCAAAGTAATGTCATATCTTGGGAGATAATGAAGTCACTTTGATCCTATATTCTAAGTTTAAGGATATTAATTTGATATTTTTATTGTAAGGATTTCAATAATGTTTGCAAGTAAAATCATTTCATGTGGAATTTTGTGCCAAGTGAGCGTAAAAATAAAGTAGAATAACTGAAAGCTATGGAAATCGGTTATCATAAGTTAGTAGCTTTTACCTTTTATTTTTATCCCACAATTGCTAATTTCCAAACAGTTTTTACAGTAAGTTTTGACTACTAATCTGTTGGTATTTTTAATGTAGCTTTGATAACAATTATGTATGGCGAGAGGAGTTGGGATTCGAACCTCAGCATTCTGTAGTAAGATAAAACCAAGTCCCATAGCGAAAAAGAATTTCCATCAAAACTTAAACTCATAGTTGAGTTAAAACTACCAAAAAAAATACAATTAAAATAAACCCATTTAACCTAAAAAATATAAGTGATCATTACATTTTGGACACACAAAAATTAACAAAAACAAATCCACACTTCATTTTCCCAGAAATAAGTATTGTTCACTGTATCCTGCTTAACTGTGCGTTACTTTGATCCCACGGGCAGTCTTCCTTTTCAAGACCAGCAAAGTATAAGGAATAAGACAAGCAAAGCTTTAATCAATAACTCTAAAACACTGACAGTTATATATAAATAACAACGGAACAGGAATTTCCTCATTAAGAGCCACCCTTAGACATCAGTCACTATAAATTGTCGTGGTTAGTAGCCTATACATTCACCTAAGTTTTTCATTACTAACTAGTTTATATAGATAGTCACTAATTACCAATTAGTTTTACTCTACGTTTTGGCTGCTATCTTCATGAAAGTCAAGATAGAGACTGGACGTGATGGCAGGAACCGGGATTTATTTCCAATTAAAGCCCCCCCCCCCCCCGGTGGCACAGCGGTATGTCTGCGGACTTACAACGCTAGAATCCGGGTTTCGATACCCGTGTTGGGGAGAGCACAGATAGCCAGACCATTGTGTAACTTTTTGCTTAATTACAAACACACCTATTAAAGGATTATAGTTATTATTTTATGTTTTCATTAATAAATCATACAGAGCTTAAGAACTTCAAATATATTAAGCAAAGAAAAAGTATTCCAAAAGTCAGCACGTACACAAAAGCACTTCTTAATGTTTTTACACTTTAGACTCTAATGGAAAAGTAGGTGCAAACAAACTCTTGAATTAAAAATTCGTTAATCAAGGCCAAAATTTAGTTAGACTAAAAATTTTTAAGTTCAAAATACTAAAGTCCAGAAAATATATTAACCAGAAATTTGGACCAAATTTCAGAAAAGATTCCAAACCTATATTATTCCCCTTTTTCGGATCTCTCAAAAAACAATGATGACCAGAAAAAGTCATAGATCAATTGAGTTCGATTATCTGCTGTAAATAGAGTGCAGATAGTCTGTTGTGTGGCTTTGTACTAAAACAAATGAAATCAGTGGAAAGGTTTGTTTCAGATATTCGCGGCTACACAAGGGCTATCTGCGCTAGCTATCTCTAACTTTTAACTGATAGGTTAAAGGGGAAGCAGTTAGTCAACAAAACGCCCCGCTAACTCTTGGGCTACTCTTATCTGATCAATTAGGGGAATTTGACTGTCACTTTTAGAGTGATCCGAGCGCGATCTTGTTGCAATGAAAAGCGAACCATGGACCCCAGATCCACAGTTTGTCATTCTAACCATAGGCCGCGCCTGGCCTAATT